TTTTAATTTAATATAATTGAATTTGAAGTTTTTGGTTTCTGTTTTTGAAACATGGTAATTCCTGTGTAGCGATGAAACCATATTTTTAAATCACTTAATTTATAATATTTATGCTCTGTGAATTTACATTGAGCACTGTTTTGTAAAAATAAAATATCAATAAGAACACCGGATTACATATCTTACTGTTCTTTCTTTTTTTACTATATATATATATATATATATATATCTCTGATTAAATAAATTGTAAACATTATGTTTGCTTATTTTTAGCACAATCCATTTATATTCACGGATATTTTTCCATGTATTACAATCAAATGATACAAGAAATGCACTGTAACAGTGAAAATCATTTTTATTTCCCAAGTACTTTCCATCTCTTTCTGAGATCATCATCATCAGGGGGTGCAACTAGTAAGGCAAAAAACTGTGTGTAGTTATCCATTACCTTTTTTCTCTCAGCCATTGCATTTAAACGTGAACAGAAAAAGTTCAGCAACGGATAGCTACACATAATTTTTCCTTCTCCTTTTTCTTCCTTCATATTTCTTTTCCTTCCTTATGTTCCCTCTTCATTGTCTCTTTTTTATTGTCACCGATTCTTTTTTATCATTTCTTCTTATTCCTTCATATTCCTTCTTCCTTCATATTCCTTCTCCTCCTTCCTTATGTTCCTTCTTCATTGTCTCTTTTTCATTGTCACTGATTCTTTTTTATCATTTCTTCTTCTTCCTTCATGTACCTTCTCCTTTTTCTTCTTCTTTCATATTCCTTTTCCTTCTTCTTTCATATCCTTTTCTGTCATCTTCTTTATGTTCCTTCTTCATTGTCTCTTTTTCATTTCTTCTTTCTTCTTCCTTCATATTCCTTTTCCTTCTTCCTTCATATTCCTTTTCCATCATCTTCTTTATGTTTCTTTCTTCATTGTCTCTTGTTCATTTCTTCTTCCTTCTCTTTCTTCTTCCTTCATGTTCCTTCTTCTTCACTCTCTCTTCTTTAACATTAACTTATTGTTCCTTATTCTTTTTTTTTATAATTTATTCTGTTTTTTTTCTTATTCTCATTCAATGTTTGCTCTCTTTTTCTTCTTTATTTCCTTTCCATTATTCTTCATTCCACCCACTTCCTTTTTTTTTTTTTATTCAACAGATTCAGTCAATAAATACCAAAGTTGATCACTCATAAAAATGTTCATACGATAAAATCATTGTGTGGTTTAGATGTCATGTTGTCACCATTGGCAACTGCCTTTCTGCTGAGTGTACAACTAGATATTTTCAATTTGCCTTCAGTAATGGCTGGAAATGGTGATATATAGAAGAAAAGAAAATATGAGTAGCAAGATTAAAAGAAGGAGGTAAAGAGAGAGTAAGAATAAGAATAAGAGGGGAAAAGGAGGGTAGAGAAGAAAAGGAAGGAGAAGGGGAATAAGGAAGTAGAGAGGAGGGAAAAGGAGAAGAAGAATGTGGTGGTGAGAGGAGGAGGTTGGGAGGAGGTGGGAGCAAGAAGAGCAGGTGGTAGAGGAAAAGGAAGAAAGAGAAAAGGGAAAATAAAGATGAGGGGGTGAGAAGAGGCAAAAATGAAGGAGGAGTAAGAGGGGAGGAAGAGAGAGGAGGAGAGAGGAGGAGGAAGGGAGAAAAGAAGAAACTGGAGGAGGGTAGAGAAGGAAGAAGAGGAGAGGAGGGGAAGAAAGAAAATGAGATGGGAGGAAAAGGTAAAAGAAGGTGTGAGAAAGCAGACAAAAGAGGAAGAGGAGGTATAGAGAAAGAAGAAGAAGACAAAACTGATATTGGAAAAGTATTGAATAAAGTGGGGAGAGACAAAGATAAAGAGGAAGAAAGACATTATGTATCAGAGAGCGGGAAAGAGAAAGAATGAGGAAATGAGAAAAAGTGGCAGAAAGACAAAGAAACAAATGTGAAGTATGTAAATGATAATGAGAGAAAAGAAAAAAAAAGAGAAAACATCAAAGTATTTTGGATTGCTTTATGTCAGGAATGAATTTCATTTTACATGAATCACAAATCAGGAGAGAAAACCTGAGTTCAGATATGAAATTTTAATTTCAATCTATGAATTATGGCACTGAATTTAATATCAAGATGTTTGGTTTACACTCTTATTTTTTTATATATATATATATATATATATATATATATATATATATAATAAAAAGGCTTAAATATACATGTATGGGAATTTTTTAGATATATTTTTCATATGTATGTATATTTTCCACTAATATTATCTATATATATATATATATATATATATATATATATAAAATTGAGCATTGAAGTCAACAGAGGCTCTGAGTGTTAACTTCAATGTTCACTTTTATATTTACATACACTCCATCTCTGATATTGACTGCTTTATCCCATAAATATAGCACAACTTTAATTATTTTATTTCTTCATATATATATATATATATATATATATATATATATATATGTGTGTGTGTGTGAAGAAATATAGTTTAAAGGTGTGCTATATATCTCCAAATGTAATGAGAACAAAAAGAATATAAATTCAAACATCCGTAACATTAATTTAAAAGAGGGCTCAATACCAAAAGTAGACCAATATTTATTTATTATAAGTTATACAGACCAACAAGTAATCATGACAACGATGTATATTTGTTTTGATGTTTAAACCTAAGCATCTCATCAGGTGGTGAACAAAGATGGTTCATTGTTCTTCACCACCTGATGAGATGCTTAGGTTTAAACATCAAAACAAATATACATCTTTGTCATGATTATTTGTCTGTTCATATGTATTAACTTATAATATATCTCCAAGTATAGGATTGGTGTATATGGAATAAATTCCAGTAACCAACAAATACTATTCTTAAAGGAGTGCTCAATACAGAGTAGAGCAAATATAATTATTTATTAAAAAATTTATAACATAAATATGTTATAAAATCACTACAAAATAGCCATTTTGTTTCTACACTTCTGGTGTCTTATCAAGTGATGGTGTTGAAACAAAATGGCTATTTTTCTAGTGATTTTATAACAAATTTATGTTATAATTTTTTAATAAATAATTACATATATATGTGTGTGTGTGTGTGTGTGTTGATAAAATAGGAAAGAACTGTTAGATTGATGATCCAAAGTTCTTTAGTATTTTTGTTTTTAAAAAAATTGTGCTCAATACAGAAGTAGAGCCTAAATTATAATTATTTTTTAAAAATATGGTTCCAATGCGACACAGAAATTACTGGTTCAAAATTAGTCATCAGTATTCAAGCTTGGACCGGAACTACAGCATCAATCAGAGTTTTAGCAGATATTAATAAAAAAAACAATGGAGCCTGATAAAATTAGCCATTGTAGCCAGACAAAATAAAACCCAACCCAACATGACTCCAAGAACTTGACATATAACAAACACCCCTACTTCCATCAAAGCAGTGACCCCTTTATAAAGAAAAACTAAACCCAGATTACATCTCTATTTCAAAACTATAAATGAGTAAAACATTCTGTTGTTTAGTTATTTCAAACATCGCTTGAGGATGAAACTGCCACCCCTTAGTTAAGGTTTAATATTGAAATTAAACTTGAATACTGCTGACCAGTTTCAAACATAGTAATTTTTGTGTCGCGATGGAATCATATTTAAAAAAATAAAAATTAATATAATATATATATATATATATATATATATATATATATATATATATATATGGCAACTTTGGAAAGTGCCGGAAAAACCATACTGTGGGTTGACCGAAGCCTTGTGAGTGAAATTGGGTAGGCAGAACACTTGGAGGCCATCAAGACTGAGGGTTGAGTGTGCTGGCCTTGTTCAAATTGTTGATCATTCTAGATAACACGCTCTCTCCCAGAAACTGTAACTAAGGTCTGCTCAGCATAGTTGCAGTATAAACCACAGATTGGCTCTGTGGGTGTTGAATAAACAACATTGTGCCTGAGCAAGCATCTGCAATAGGGATTGGCTAGTTGCCTTAATAGACAGGTATCCTCAAATACAAGTGACCAGCTATATATATATATATATATATATATATATAGGGTGTGATGGGTAAATTATCTATGTACCTATTGACATAGCTATCTCAATTTGTTGAGTCTTTCTATCTAGTCTGGTCACATCTATCTAACTATCTGTCTATCTATCTATCTACATTTGCATAGCACATATGCATGATTTAGTTTAAAAATTAATATCAAATTGTAAATATTTAATGCCATAATTGTCTTAACATACTTGTTCATATTAATTACGTTTTGGCCGTTGTATGTTCCAGCCTTCTGCAAGTGGTTGGAATGTCAAACTGAACCCTTTATTTCACTCACTGGGATAGATTGTTCTAGTTCCACATGCCATGTTTTCCAACCACCTGAAGAAGGCCAGAGCATACCACGGCTGAAATGTTGTAATAAATATGGCAACAAAGATGAAGACAATAGTCCGAATAATATAAATAGTGTACATAATACCTCATCTCAGAATATATAGACAGTCATAATTTTATATTTTTAATTTTGCATGTGTGCTTTTGTTTGTGTTTGATTTTGTCAATGGCACAGTATAGTAGGGTCAGTTGGGCACCGTTTGTGAGAAAAAGAGCACCATGACGCAAATCACCCCACCAGAAATTTGTGCGCATGTGTAGATGTGGCAACATCATCAATGTCCGATGAAATCTTAATGGATGAAAGACATCACAAAAAAACTTTCCAGTTTGTCATATTTTTCTAAATATACGTGTGTGTGTATGTGTGTGTGTGTGTGTGTGTGTGTGTTTTGACAGAAAGAATTCTCTCCAAGTTGTTTTATTCAGTAATATAGAGAAAAGTTCTGTCTTCATCCTGGGTATGATGATAAACTATGTCCAACAGCAAGGCCTCTGATCAGGAGGCTTTGAGGAGTGTGGAACCACCTCTTAATTGCTGGTATTCCTAGGTCCACCCTGACCCGGGCTAGTAGCACCTGTTAGGGTCCCAGCTATGGATAAATAGTTAACCCCGAAACTGAGGTAGAAAGCATTATAAAAGTGTAAAAATAGGTTTTAATACCAGAAATAATTTGTAAAAACATTAGCAGAAATAAATTTTTGAAAAAAAAAAAAAAAAAAGAAAAAAAAACATACCTGCAATACATTTTTTAAAATAATATTACCAGCTATACATTTTTGACAAAACAAAATATTACCAGGAAAAAAAAGTTGTCGGCATTAAATAACCCATTGAGGTTGATATGCCATAAAACAAAACAAACAAGTTCTATCATTTTTTTTTTTATTAATTCTTCCAAATTTACAAATAAGTTGGTTTGCTCTATCAGTAAATTTGCCAAAATTCATGTTAACTTTTATTTTATATTATTATTATTTTTCTTTCCAAGTACTTTTGAATGATACCCAATTTGTTTTCAAAGATTGTTCTGTGTGTAGTTACTCAACTGTTTTAGTAGTAGCCTTGGTATTACCTGTAAGTTTATTAAGCTTGTGTATATATATGGAAACATAGAAGCAGATATGCATTGACACACACAAACACACATTTGTGATTAAAGGCAATGAACGAAACAAAAGAAAAAGAAAAGTGAGGAAAGAAGATGAATAATAAAGATAAAATTGAAAGTCATTTTTCTGTAGTTTTTTTCATTTTTTTTCTTATTTTCCTTTTTTTTTCTTTATTTTTTTGTCTTCTTTTTTCTTTCCTTTTTAATTTCTTTTCTTTTGATTTTCTTTTTTCTTTTTCTTTCCTTTTTAATTTCTTTTTATTTTATTTTCCTTCTTTATTTTCTTTTCCTTCTTTATTTCCTTTTTGTCTTCTTTTTTCTTTCCTTTTTAATTTCTTTCTTTTCATTTTCTTTCTTTTCCTTCCTTTTCACTTTTTCTTTTTCTCTCCTCTTTCTTTTTTTCATTTCTACATTTAATTGCATAATTTTATTTTAAAACCAAAAATCCCCTCAAAATTAAATGTAATTAATAAAGTTTGTTTTTTTAATTTTTAAAGAAACAATGAAGCAGAAAGCAGAAAATAATTGTTATCTTTAGTTTTCTGTGGAAATAGGAAATGGATTTAGGGCTTGATTGAGTCTGAGGAAATTAACCCTTGGCTAAGTGACTGGAATAATATGATTGGTTGCATGATGATACAGTTAAATAATCAACCAATGGCAAGCAAGAATACTTCAAAGCAACATTAGAAAAAAGAATTAGATAGATAGATAGATAAATACGAACAGAATTAGATAGATAGAAACAGAATGAGATAGAAAGATAGATAGATGGGTAAACAACTGGGAAAGAAAAAGTTTGTTTTCTTTATTTTTTCTTTTTCCGAGAATGAAATAAAGAAAACAGACCAACCAACAACCAAGAAAGAAAGAAAAACCTAGCAACAGAAGAAGTAAAAGAAGAAGAAGAAAATATAATCAGGAAAAGAAATAAAAAAGAAATTAAAAACCAAAAAGACAACAAAAAATAGATTCAAAAAGAAAAATAAATCCCTGAAGAGAAAAAAGAAAGGAAAAAAATTTGCTAATGAAGAAGTAAATGGAAAATTCATTCATAATGAAAGCAGACAGAAGAAGAAATGTTTGAGATTATTAGCAACACTTTGATGAGAGGAGAAATCTATGGAGTTGAATGAGGGAAAAAATAAAATGGGAAAAAGGGTTATGAGATATCAGGAAGTGAAATGGTGAGAACACTTACGAGAGGGTGGGGGAAAATGGTGAGAATGTTTACAAGAGGTCAGAAAAACAAAGTGGGGGACACTTACAAAAGGGGGGAGGTGAGGAGAATGTTTACAAGAGTGCAGTAAACAGTGGGGAGAATGCTTTCTTGAGGGCAGTAAGCAAAGTAGGGAGAATGCTTTCCTGAGGAGAGTAAACAAAATAGGGAGAACGCTTACAAGAGGTGGGGGAAAAGTGGGGAGAATGTATACTAGAGGGCAGTAAACAAAGTGGAGAGAACACTTACAAGAGGTGGGGGAAAAGTGGAGAGAACACTTACAAGAGGTGGGGGAAAAGTGGAGAGAACACTTACAAGAGGTGGGGGAAAAGTGGAGAGAACACTTACAAGAGGTGGGGGGAAAGTGGAGAGAACACTTACAGGAGGTGGGGGGAAAAGTGGAGAGAACACTTACAAGAGGTGGGGAAAAGTGGAGAGAACACTTAAAGAGGTGGGGGAAAAGTGGAGAGAACACTTACAAGAGGTGGGGGAAAAGTGGAGAGAACACTTACAAGAGGTGGGGGAAAAAGTGGAGAGAACACTTACAAGAGGTGGGGGAAAAGTGGAGAGAACACTTACAAGAGGTGGGGGGAAAGTGAGAGAACACTTTACAAGAGGTGGGGGAAAGAGGAGAACACTTACAGGAGGTGGGAAGAGAAAAGGGGAGAGAACACTTACAGGAGGTGGGGAAAAGTGGAGAGAACACTTACAGGAGGTGGGGAAAGTGGAGAGAACACTTACAATAGGGGGAAAGTGGAGAGAACACTTACAATAGGGGGGAAAGTGGAGAGAACACTTACAATAGGGGGGAGAACACTTTACAGAGGTGGGAAAATGGAGAAGAGGTAGGAGGTTTACAAGGGGGGGAGAATGTTTACAAGAGGTGGGGAAAATGTTTACAAGAGGTGGGGAAAATGTTTACAAGAGGTGGGGAAAATGTTTACAAGAGGTGGGGAAAATGGGGAGAATGTTTACAAGAGGGCAGAAAACAAAGTGGGGAGAATGTTTACAAGAGGGCAGTAAACAAAGTGGGGACAATGCATTCATGTGGGTAGTAAACGAAGTGGGGTGAATGCTTACAAGTAGGCAGTAAACAAAGTCAAAAGAATGCTTACAAGATGGCAGAAAGCAAAGTGGAGAGAATACTTTCAGGAGGGCGGGAAACAAATTTGGGAGAATGTGTTTACAAGGAGGGAGTTTAGAAGAAATCTAGTGTTGACAAAAAGAGAAGAGTGGAAAAAATTAATAAGATTGTTGTCTACTCAGAGTTATTTAAGTGACTGAAGAATATATAAAGAAGTCTTTAAAAATAAAGTAAGTGTAGATTATGACAGGAAACTAGAAAATATGACAATGAAGGCAGAAAATGTATCAGAGTGAGGGAAGAAAATAGAACTGTTTTATAATGTAGAGAAATAAATTGACTGAGTGATTTATTGGAAAAATAAGTGCTAAATGTATAGACAGATCAAAGGCCTATTGAAAAACTCTTGGCTTGTCACACCCCACAAAAACTGTTTTTCAGAAAGCACACATCAGATTTTGGAAAATGTGTTGGGTTGAAAAATTTTCAAGACACCATATATATATATATATATATATATATATATATATATATATATATATATATATATATTAAAAACAATGTTAAATATCTGAATGTCTATGTCTGGTCATGAGCTGTTCTAAAGTTTGTATGTTTGCTTTAATTTCAGGTGAAAATAAAGACAAAAATTGTTCAACGTTTGGATATTTTTATTAAGTTTGTCCTTGATCTAAGCATTCGGCTCACATGAGCCATCTTCAGAGTGGTTATATAGACATTTAAACAAAGATATTCACCTTAAAAGATGATATTCTGTTATGTTGACATAGGAGATTGCTATATGAGGATAACGGTCGCAGAATAGCAGACGCAGGTCATAAGTTTAAGATGTGGTTTTATGACATCATAGCACACGAGAGAGAGGAAATATTAACAACAGAACTATATGTTTAGATGCAATGTAATCGGCTGTGACTTGTTTTGAAATGTAATTTTGTTGAGTATGGGTTAATACACTAAATATATACATATTATATCATTAACTTTACTGATTTACTTTTTGTATGAATGATTCATTGTATATATATATATATATATATATATATATATATATATATATATATATATATATAATTGACCCCTCATGTTCGATGATGAGGGTCAGGCGATAAGTCCCCAGGAAACCGACATCCCACACCGCACATGAGATTTGATTATAGGGTGAAGGCCTCGTGCAGGACCAGCCACACTTTTTGAGGGGACGAATACAGAAACCTGGTGCACTGAATGCATGCCACAAGGTTCCCAAACGACCCTCCGCAGGTTTTAAATTCAGAGTTGTCCTTCTCCTAGACCAGTTGCCATCCAAGGCTATAGAACCCAGTCTGTCCTGCTATTTTACCCATAGCTGAGGGGAGATGAAGAGGATACATACCTTTCCCAAGGGTATTAGCACGTAAGTGAATGTAATGATTCGACTGAATTAACTCGGCTCTCATGATTCCTCAATCCAAGCCCGTTATCCACTGCCCACCGTGCCTCCTATATATATATATATATATATATATATATATATATATATATATATATATATATATATATATATATATATATATATATATATATTTATTGAACAATAAAAAAATATTAAAAAATTAAAATCTTCAGACACACTGGGCTGTATATTGATATTCCTTCATTTTTATTATTATTTCATTTAGATTCCTCAACTAGTTTTGGCCAACATGGCCATCATCAGGGGAAAAATAATTTTCTGCTTGCTGTTAGCAGTGAACTAAGGAAATAAATGTCTTGATGGAGAAAATGAACTTTTGTCTGTAGTTTTCATTTGTTTTTTTATTTTTTTTTTACCATGAATTTTGGTCAGTCTTTGTGTTGGTCAAACAGTCTCTTAAGTTGTTATTTGAGATAAGAGCTGGATGGATTCATGCTGCTCTGAATTCCCTTGGTCATTTTGACAGTTTTATTGGTTCCTGGAAAGGGGATGTGTCACTGTTATGTGTGTGTGTGTGTGTTATTTGGTTCTCAGGGAGTGAGTGAGTATGATGTATGTCAGTGTGTATATTACTATGGGTGTGTGTTATCATTTTGCTCATTAGGGACTGAGTATGATGTGTGTAGGTTTTTGTATAAGTGTGAGGCCTCAACACCTCTGTAAGCATGTGTGTCTTGTGTGGGTGGGAAATGTGGGTAGGTTTTGATTTGTAGGATTATACTATCTATATTGTCAAATTTATGGTCTAGCTCAAAATATATATATATATATATATATATATATATATATATATATACACACACATACATATGGACATTATTTTTATATATTTGAGTAGACGCTCCATTTATTTATTAAACAGTATATTTTATTTATTTTTGTCTACCGGCCTGATTATTTGTGAAATCTTATGAAAGAAAAATATGCACTCTCCAACAGGATTCAAACCTGCATCCACACAATCCTCAGGGCATGGCTTGACGATTGCATTTAGCATGAAACAGATTCTTGCCTCTGGGTGTTAACTTCAATGTACACTTTTATATTTATGTCTGTTCTATCCCTGATATTAAGCACTTTAACCTATAAATATATCATACCTTAAAACTATATTTCATCATATATATATATATATATAACTTTAAATGTTATTATAGTGAGTACTCCACTTTATTGTTTATCTTTATTTCTATGGGTTAAATAGTAGGGCTGACTGGGATTTTTAGCCTTGGTTGGCAACCAGTCAATAGAAAGATTATATATGAATTGAAAACCTGAGGAATTCTCTGTAATTGTTTTTTCCAAAAAGTGTGGCTGGTTCTGCACAAGACTTTACCACTATAATCAAATCATATGTATTAGTAATCTGGATGTTCAGTTCTAAATACTAATAACTGAACTGGTCGACCCTTGTGTTTTCAAGACAACAGAAGAGTCTAATATATATATATATATATATATATATATATATATATATATATATATGTGTGTGTCTGCATTTAAAAATAAAATTATACATTTTTGTGTGTGTATGTGCATATTAAACAATATAATTGTGTGTGTGTGTATACATATAAAAATATAATTTTATATATAGGTGTGTATTTAAACTATATAATTATATATATATATATATATATATATATATGTGTGTGTGTGTGTGTTATATGTGTGTGTGTTATGTGCGTGAGTGTGTCTTCAAGTGGACAAATAAGAAAAGGGAGTGACAGTTAAGGATGTTGACATTGACCAAATTATATGTGATCGTCAATACGGAAGAGAATCTTTTGAAATGGTAAAAAAAATATTGGAAATTGTGGGAAAAAATCCAGAAACCAAAAGTTTTTAGTGCCAAATAAAAACAAAATTTTAATAGAATTTATAAAAGTGTTTATTTTGTGTGATTGGAGGTGAGAGGGTGGGGTCATGGAAGGAAGGGTGGGAGGGAGGTAGGTATATAAGGAGGGAGGAAAGGAGGAGGAATGAAAGAAGGAAATGAGAATGTAAGGAAGGAAGGAAGGAAAAATTTGATGAAGATGAAGAAAAGGTCAAAAAGATAAAATTAAAAGGAAAGTTAAGTGAAACAATGAAGAAAAGGTAGAGAAGCTATAACAGAAAAGAGAGTGGTGGAAGAAAGATGGGGAGATAGAGGAAGAAAGAGAAAAGGAATGATACTGAGATAAAGGGGAGTAAAAGAAAGATGAATTGAAAAGGAAGAAAAAAAAGAGAAGCCGTAAAAGTAAAAGTAAAAAAGAAAGAAAAGGAAGCAAAGAAAAAGAGAAAAAGAAAAATGAAAGAAAAAAGTTCCAAATAGTGTAATAATGTTATTGGTAATATTAGCCACTTTCTTATGTGGAAACATTCGACATTCACTGTTAGTGTTATTGCCAATTGAAATTTATAAAATCTTTGTTTCAATACAATTTTTCAGGAAAATGGGTTTTTCAATCACACCGTTATATCTCTTTCCAGTATTGATGGGGGTTTACTTCTTAGCTATTCATTTGAAGAATATTGGAAAAGGACACAACTTGATTCTGTTGTTATTTTCTACTCTAGAATGAACTATCCATTTTAGTTGTTACTGCTTTTGAAAGGCTTTAAGTGATGTAGTTTCTGTTATTTGGTAAATTTATTTGCGATTCCCTAGCACCAGGACATGAGAATGTATAATTCTCTAAGATCTACAGGGTTCACCCTCATGAAAGCATTCTCCTCACTTGCTCAAAACCATTTTTAATCATTGCTCTAAGAAAACGGTTGTATAAAGATGGTAATGTAGATATTTCTGAATGAGTTTGGCACCATGCATGGAATTCATATAAGAGTCTAGATCTAATGTGGTTATTTAAGAAGTTGACAAGTTTTATATTGGCTTTGCAGCAACTTGCGGTATTGGGAAAAACTACTCCTAGTGCAACCTATGTCCAATTTCTATATCTCCTATTTGTTATAACTGCGTTATAAATCCATACAAATAAATTCATATACAAATCCATACACAAAGTTATTGGAAGTGTTTAGTATTTACTAATTCCCTATCCTGTTTTTTCTGATTGATTCAGAATTGGCACCATCACTGCTTTCATTTCCAATTTCAGATCATAGTTTCTGTTTTGGAAAGGCTTATCTTGAGTCCTATTTCTTGGAACATTTCACAGAGAATGTTGATGTTTCTTCCTGTTCATGATTATTCTTCTTCCA